GGTTTGTATAGCAATGCGAGCGCGCGCGTTATTAGAGACCGAGAGAGTGTGAGTGTGTGTGTGTGTGTGTGTGTGTGTGTGTGTGTGTGTGTGTGTGTGTGTGTGTGTGTGTGTGTGTGTGTGTGTGTGTGTGTGTGTGTGTGTGTGTGTGTGTGTGTGTGTGTGTGTGTGTGTGTGTGTGTGTGTGTGTGTGTGTGTGTGTGTGTGTGTGTGTGTGTGTGTGTCTGTGTGTGTGTGTCTGTCTGTGTGTGTGTGTGTGTGTGTGTGTGTCTGTCTGTGCGTGTGTGTGTGTGTGTCTGCCTCTGTGTGTGTGTGTGTGTGTGTGTGTGTGTGTGTGTGTGTGTGTGTGTGTGTGTGTGTGTGTGTGTGTGTGTGTGTGTGTGTGTCTGTGTGTGTGTGTGTGTGTGTGTGTGTGTGTGTGTGTGTGTGTGTGTGTGTGTGTGTGTGTGTGTGTGCCTCTGTGTGTGTGTGTGTGTGTGTGTCTGTGTGTGTGTGTGTGTGTGTCTGTGTGTGTGTGTGTCTGTGTGTGTGTGTGTGTGTGTGTGTCTGTGTGTGTGTGTGTGTGTGTGTCTGCCTCTGTGTGTGTGTGTGTGTGTGTGTCTGGTGTGTGTGTGTGTGTGTGTGTGTGTGTGTGTGTGTGTGTGTGTGTGTGTGTATCTGTGTCTGTGTCTGAGTGAATGTGTCTGCCTGTGTATCTGTCTATTTGTTTGCAGTACTTTGCCCCTTCCTCTTTTGTCTGACCATCGGTTAGGGGACGGCCAGTAAAAAGTATTATAAGGACCAGTATGTAATATGACTAACCTGACTACATCTATAAACTGCACACCTCAATGCTGTATGAGGCTGCGTTTGTATGTCTTTTACTTATCTATCCACTTGCATAATTAAGCAGATTGAGATATAACCAATATACATCTCTACTTTTTAAAAGACCGGCAAATAAAAAAAGCTTTACACCAAGCATAAACGATGTAGACACAACTGTAGGTGCTTTTAAATAACCCCTTCATTGATTCTTGATAGAACAAATAATTAATATAGATATAAGTATTATACAAACACGCAATGCGATATGTTAGATATATGTTTAAATGAATGCGGTGCTTAGGTTTTCATTTCCCGGCAAATTTCGTCGGACAGACATTTTGACAGGAGTTGCATACTGTAATTGTTAGGTCTTTAAGAATAAACGAAACTATTTACAATGTCCAGGATTATGACATACATTCAAAACATTTCTAGTATCCACAAACATAAACATCTATGCAAGACTATTTATAAATCTGTTTTCTTCAATATGAAAATATAATTCTCGACAACGTTTCCCGTAACCTTCAAAAACAGTAAGCATTCCTAATTCATCATAACTTTGAAGCCGGGCATTCATATAACAAACCACATCTACTTGTATACATTTAACATAAAGGAAACATGCTGATATAACAAAATGAAATGTTGATTGCAAGATAAAGGTTATATTTGATGTCAAAAAATATTTAAGTAGCTACCTCTGACAAGTATTTCCTCTCATATCAAATCAAATCACATTAAATTCTGCTTCAATATGTGTTCTATATATGCGAAATATTTCTTCTTATATCGAAATAAACCTATGATTGTATAATTTATCGTAAATATGCAATTTGTCAGTCAATAAATGCTTGAATTATCATCAAATGGCGACGCTTGGCATATTTATCCATCCTATATGTCAAACACGATGACGTCATGTTCAGTGTGGTTCCGATCGTTGAGGAGGGAAGATGTCGGCCGTGGTGGTCTTCGCGGTTTTCCTCTTGATCTTCACCATCCTCAAATTCCTCAATGTTACCAGCCCTCCAAGACCACCAAAGCTCATGTGCAGTGACTCCAAGTTCCTCGAACTCATCCTGAAGTACTGTCCCCAGCTTAACGAGACGTGAGTAAAGAATGAGAGGGAAAATTTGCAGAGGGACGTTTTCCCTACTGGGCGGGGCAGCTCCGTGTCTCTCATCTTTTCTGGTTCTTTCCCCTTTCTTTGTGCAGGATTTTTTTGGTCGCTAGGAGTTGAGTTTAGCGGTTATAGAAGGAGTCACCATGCTGTCATTCGCCCCAGGAGAATTGTGCTCTGACTGTGGCGAGGGAAAGTGTGTGGCATCGGCCTTTGAAGTGTCGGGTTGGTGATGCGGGAGGAGGAGGAGGAGGGTGTTTCTGTTTGTGTTTTGGGTGCGTGTCTGTGTGCTGGTTCCATGTGTGTTTGGGGAAGGGGGGTTGCGCGCGTGTGTGTGTTCGTGTTTGGGTGCGTGTTTTGTGTGTCTGTCTGTTTGTAAAGCATACACACATACATGCTTATACGCGTGCTCGCGTACATACATGTGTGCATGCATGCGGAGAATAAAATAGGAATTATGGGAGACACCGATCAGGTTTGGTAGAGCATCAAGGGATATTGAAAGAGCGAAAGCAATATTAATACGAAGATGGATGCTTTAAAACATAAATTGTTACCGAGGAACCGTAA